CATCAGTGCCATGGGCTGGGAACCACGGCGGGGTTGGATCAAGGGTTGGACTGGATGATGTTGGAGGTCTCTTCCAACCCAGCTGATTCCACGATTCTCTGATTCCATGATTCCATGATTCTCTGATTCCATGATTCCATGATTCTCTGATTCTCACCCGCTCCACGTCAGCGCTCGTGGGGCCTGGGGGTGACTGTTCTGCCCTCCCTGCACAGATCTGGGTGAACAGCCCCCACACGGCCAGCGGTTACTACACCATCTACGACAACGAGACCCTCCAGGCCGACCACTTCAACACCCGCCTGAGCTTCGGGGACGCGGCGCAGACGCTCTGGGCCCGCACCGGTTACCTGGGCTTCGTGCGGCGCACCGAGCTCACGGCGGCCAGCGGAGGTGGGCAGGCACTCGGGGGGCTCTGGGTGACACATCTCCAGGACAGGGCCATCCACAGGGGCCTGGATGAGCTCAAGAAGTGGCCCCCGGGGAGCTCGGGGGGGTTTAGTAAGACGAGTGCTGGCGCCGCTGCCGGGTCGGGGCGACCGCCGGTGTTGGGGCAGGGCGGGGATGAGCTGATGGAGAAGGATGTGGGGAGAGGATGGACATGGCCCAGAGACCCCTCCTGTGCTGGGGGATTCTGCCCCTCTGCTTAGAGCCCCCTGCAGAGCTGCCTCCAGCAGGGGAACAGCACAGGGAGGGATGTGGAGCTGCTGGAGAGAGTCCAGAGGCACCAGGATGGTCAGAGGGATGGAGCAGCTCTGCCAGGGGGAAAGGCTGGAGAGCTGGGATTGTTCGGCCTGGAGAGGGGAAGGCTTTGGGGTGACCTCATTGTGGCCTCCCAGGACCTGAAGGGAACCTGCAGGAAAGGTGCAGAGAGACTATTTCCAAAGGAGTGCCAGGAGAGGGGGGAATGGCTTCAAACCACCAGCAGATTTTAGATGGGATTTTGGGAAGAAATTCCTCTCTCTGAGGGTGGTGAGGCCCTGGAATGCATTTCCCAGAGGATGCTCCATCCCTGGAAGTGTCCCAGGCCAGGTTGGAGCAACCTGGTCTAGTGGAAGGTGTCCCTGCCCATGGCAGGGGGGTGGAACTGGATGATCTTTAAGGTCCCTTCCCACCCAAACCATTCCATGATTCTTTGGCCTGTAGCAGACACTCTGTTGTACCTGAATTCCAGCCCTTACAGCTGTTTTCCCTCTGTCCCCAGAGCGCCACGACGCCCTGTACGTGGTGGGAGCCCTGGATGAGACTCTGGAGCTGCGGGGGCTGCGCTACCACCCCATCGACATCGAGACCTCGGTGTCCCGGACCCACAGGAGCATTGCTGAATGGTAACACAGCCCCCCACAGGAGGCCTGGGCTCCTCCTGGCCCAGCTGAAAGGCAGCAGTGTAGGCAGAGGTGCAGGGTTTAATCGGGAAAAAACCCAGGGAAATTCGGATTTTTTTTCTGTTGGGCAATTCAGATGAATGTGTGTTGTCCTCGGCCAGTCACGCTCCTGATTTCCACACAGAACAGACTTGGTGTTTTCTCACAGGCCTCAGCATTGAATAGAGGTGATGATTTGCTGCTTTGGGGTGTAAAGAGCCGCTTCTCAGTCGGTGGCAGCAGCGTTGTTGTGTCACACGGGTGGTGCTGAGGTGGCCCTGAACTGGTCTTTGACACGTCAGGGCCGGGTCACCCCGGGGTTGGGTTGGAAATGCAGCCCAGAGCAGGTGGGAGACTCCACCTGAGGACAATCAGCTGGAAGCTTTGGGTCTCTGTGACAATAACCGGGCGTTCTGTTGACTTTCCCTTGCCCTTCCAGTGCCGTGTTCACCTGGACCAACCTGCTGGTGGTGGTGGTGGAGCTGTGTGGCTGCGAGCAGGAGGCTCTGGATTTAGTCCCTCTGGTGACCAACGTGGTCCTGGAAGAGCATTACCTGATCGTGGGCGTGGTGGTGGTGGTGGATCCCGGGGTCATTCCCATCAATTCCCGAGGCGAGAAGCAGCGGATGCACCTCCGGGACAGTTTCCTGGCGGATCAGCTGGACCCCATTTACGTGGCCTACAACATGTGATGGGAGGAGCTGCAGGAGCCCAGAAGGACCAGGGTGGTGATGGAAGTGAAGCTGGTGAAATTACTAATACTTGACCTACAGTTTGAGGTTGCTGCCACATTCCTTCCCTCCCGGCCCCGGGGAGCGGAGGGAATTTGGGAGGCAACTGGCAAACCTTTGTAACAGTTTACTGAACACATGAGCTTTAGAGAAATGCAAAGTGGAAAAGTGTGTGAGCTACAAAACCCCCAAGGCCTTTACAGTAGTGTTACTTTTTCATCCGTTGTACATATTTGTATTTTTATCTAATCCCGGGGTAGGATTCTATAAGGGGAGGGTTTATTTAGTTAAGATAATAAACTATTAAGAAAAAGGGTCATCAGAGTTCTGCAGTTCCCTACTCCATGACCTCCTTTGCATCTGGAGCTGTTCATCCCCTGGGATCACCCAACTTATTGACAATTGTGCCATGACCAAATCAATAACTTAACGGAATCGAAGAGTTACTTATTCATATAGAGATTTCTGGAATTTAAAAAAGAATTTTGCCTATATTTTAAATATGTAAATATTATTATACATAATTCACTTAGCTAGAAAATTAACTTGGCTAATGAGGACAGCTGAAGGTTGATGTTTTTAAGGGCAGGTGACTTTTGTGGTCCTCAGCATCCTGGCATTGGCTTAGACACAATGTGAGATGCTCCCACCTTCCACAGGTTTCTGATTTCATTTGTCTCTTCATTCTGGCCAGAAGTGTGTCAGAGCATGTAGAACCTTTGATATTAAGGCACATCTTTCCCCAAGAGATGAATTTAAAAGGTGGAACTGGGGAGAAATGGCAATGCAAGCCCCGAATCCTGAACTGGAATGATGCAGCCTCTGCCTCATCCTCTGGCTCCAGGTGTGGGAAGGGAAAACATTCCTTAGGTGGACACACAGGTAACTCCCCTGCTTGTGCCATCCATGACTCCTTCCATCCCCAGGAAATACTGTAAATAGGCTTCAATAAAACTGGGAGCAAACAGCCCATCTTCCCTCAGAGCATTCCCTGGAAAGAACAGGAGGATCCTGGGTTTGAGCGGGATGCAATTTTTATTTTACAGGAGACAGAGCAATTGTGGCAAACACAGCGTTCAGTAACGTTGTGCAGACTGCTCTCCCAGCCTTCCACCTCCTGGGTCAGCTCCAAAGGCAGGGAATGGGAGGAAAGAGAAGCCTTAGAGAGCAGCAGGTCCAAGCTTTTCCTGCTGGGAAGCCCTTCCACGGAGCCGGTGGTTGAGCTTTGACTCCAAAATGACCTTTTCTGTTTCAACACCTCATCTTTCAATAGCAATTACATTCCTCTGGGTGCTAAAATATGATTTTGGAAGCCTTGGGGGCTGCTGCCAGATCCTGCAACAGGGTTTTTTTTTTGAGTCCCATGTGGTATATACAGTGTAAATATAAAACTTTTCAGATGTTCCAGATACCTCACGCGAAGTTTTTAGGCCGTTTTTAAAAAGGTTCGTGGTGTGGACTCGGAAGATCCTGTGGCAGTTCCTGGAGCAGGGCCCGGTGGATCCGTGGGCAAAGCCCAGCCATGTCCTGGAAAAAAAAAAAAAAAAAAGCCCCTGCTGCATCCTGGTAGTTCCTCACCGAAAAACAGGAGCTTTAAAGAAAAAAAAAAAAAAACTCAGAGAAGAAGTTTGAAAGTATATTTTTGAAAAAAAAAATAAAAATAAAAATAATAAATATTTGGTGGGGAAATAGCTTTAGGAACTGGAAGTTTTCTGGCAGGTCTGGGCCGAAGGTTCTTTGCAAACACTTCGGTTCACAGGGGGCACGTTTTGGAACCTTTTCTGTGTTTTCCACAGTGTCAGCAGAATAGGCACCAAATCTTTAGTGTGTTTAGTTTTAACAAATTGACCACAACGTGGGGACAGCGACAGGGGAAACTGTGACTAACACAGTTGGTCCTGCAGCTTGTTTTGGGTGTAAAGTGCACAAAGGTTGTTCTCCCTTTACAGCCAGAAAATTCCTGTTATTCCATGTTCTGTGTCACCATTTTTGTGTTTCTTGCACAGCCCAGGCCTGGCCGAGCAGCTTCACTCCAATGTGACCTTTCCAGGGAAAATTCTGGTGGTCTTGGACCTTTTTCTTTACTCAAAAGCTTTAGTTAAAATTGTTTCAGCAAATGCTTTTTGTCCCCTGGAGTGGATTTTAAGTCCAAGTCCGGGATTGTCATTTATTTTTCCTCGTGATCCTTCACAAAAGAAACAATGTGTGTGTGAATTCCAGCAGAGATTCCCAAGTGTGGTAGGTGGCCTTCCCAAAATGGCATTTTTGAATGAGACTGGATCCATTTGATCTCGTTTCCCCTTTATTTCTTCGTTTGGATGGGCACCGATGGCTTTTTATGCCTCGGGGGCTCTTCTCTTGCGATTCCCCGGGTGCTCCAAGTCTTCCTTCCAGCACGTTCCATTTCTCTGGGCTGGAGAACCGCAGGATGCAGGGAACATTCCAGGGACATGGAGCAGCTGCTCAGTTTGGCTTCCCTGGGTGCTTTGGCCCTGTTTTGGCACAGTGGGAAGCAACGTGCTGGAGAGGAGGAAGGATGGAGCCGGGACTCCGGAATCCCCAAATTCTTCCTCCGGCTCCACGAGCTTTCCACGGGTCATTCCACTCCTTCCATTCCTTCCTCTGGGATTTTTCCATATGGGAACAAACCAAGATCCTTCACTCCAGACATTGGCAGGGGCAGGGCTGGGTGCTTTTCCCCAAAAAACAGCCTCTCCCCCCTGGTTTGACCTCCCAGCTCCTGGAGTTGCACAGGGCACATTTTTCCTTCCTCTTGTCCATCAGATTCCAAGCTTAGCAACTGCAGTGAAACTGAAAAACTGGGAATTCTTCCCACTGGACTAAACTAGTTTGTATGTCTCACTGTTTCTGGATCTTCCCTGAGCAAACTGTGTGGGAACAGGTCGGTTTTATCCTCTTCTGTTGGAATTTGCACTTCATTTCTGGTTTAAATCAACGGAATTCAGCTGTTTCCTACTAACTGCTCTAAAATAAGGTTGTAAAAACCAGATCAATTTTAGCCCTAGGTGCATTTGTTTTCCTTTAATTTCTGTCAACCTCTTTCCCATTGTCCAATCCAGACTCCGGCGTTTCTGTAATTATGTATAAAGGTTTTATTTATTTAAAATTAGCTTAGTTACATTTTTAAATTTAACACCTGGCTGGACAGTGTCCCATTAACGCATTGATTGTGTTTCCTTTGTCTTGTGTTAATAAATATTGATGCCTGGTTGCTCGTTTAGTCCTTGAAGATGCTGTTTCTGTGAAAGAATTTTTGTTTGTTTGTTTTTTAAGGAGTGAAATGTGAGTTAATGTTGATCCTGGGGAGAGGGAGAACTTGTTTTATGTTTTGTTCATTGTATTGAGAGGGGTCTGAGCCATGAGGGAGTGAAGGCCTGGATGGGTGTCCTGGACCTGCAGCTCTGTGAATCCGATTTTTTGGGGGTCAGAGCTGGGGAAGGGGCTGGAGCACAGGGAGAAGGGGCTGGAGAACTCCTGAGGGAGCTGGGGGGGCTCAGCCTGGAGAAAAGGAGGCTCAGGGGGGACCTCCTCGCTCCCCACAGCTCCCTGGTGGGGTTGGAGCCGGGTGGGATCGGGCTCTGCTCCCAGGGAATGAGGGATGGGACGAGAGGGAACGGCCTCAAGCTGTGCCAGGGGAGGGTCAGGCTGGAGTTTAGGGGAAATTTCTTCATGGAAGGGGTTGTCGGGCCTTGGCAGGGGAAGGGGAAGGTTGTCGGGCCTTGGCAGGGGCTGCCCGGGGAGGTTTGGAGTCCCCAGCCCTGGAGCCCGGGCGGGCGCAGCCGCCGCCGCTCGCGGCGTAAAACCCGCCCGCGCCGCCCCTTAGCCCGCGCATTGGGCGCGCTATCCCCCGCGGCGAGGGCTGGGAACACCGGGAACACCGGGAATATCGGGAATAACGGGAATATCGTGATTTCCCCGGCGGCGAGCGCGCTCCCGCCCCCCCCTGCGCCATCCCGGCCGCGGGGGGGCGCTGTTGCCGCGGCGCGCCGCTCCGCCGCGCGCTCTCTATGGTCGGGCCGGGCGGGGCCGGCGCTCAGGCGGCCGCTCTAGCCCGGCGCGCGCGCGCTCCGCGCCGCTGGCGCTCTATGGCGGGGGCCCCTGGGCGCGCTCTCTATGGTCGCGGCCCGCCCCCCCCGCCGGCGCCGCTTCGCTGAGGCGGGACCGGGCCGGGGCCGGGACCGGGATCCGGCGGCTCCGGCGCCCCCCACGCGCGGCCCCGCGGGGCTCTGAGGTAAGCGCGGGCTTGCGGAGGCCGCCCCGTCCCCCTTTGGGCCCGCCCGCCCCTTCACCCACCCCCGCCCCGCGAGGGCCCTGAGGGGACGGGCAACAGGCCGCGGCCTCGGCCCGGCGGATCCCGCGGGGAGCTCCGGCCGCTGCCGGGCCTCAGGCGCTGCCCCGCGGCCTGGCGCTGCTGCCGGGGCCGGGCCAGCTGCGCCCGGGGCTGTGTGGGGGAGAAAGGGGGTCTGGGGGTGACGGGGGGTCCCCCCGCTCCCCCCTCCCCGGGTCCCGTTCCCCCCATTCCCGCTCCCCCTCCCTGTTCCCGCTCCCCCGCCGCGTCTTGGGAGGGGGGAAAGGGGGCTCTGACCCCCTCTGGGACCCCCCGGTCCCGCTTTGCCCCGGGGGTGGGGGTTTAAAAGGGGGTCCCCCGGTGCCCCCCGGCCCCGGGCAGCTTGTGACAAACCGCTCGTTGTGACAAACGGGAGCTTTATCGCTCATTAACCCGCCGTTTAATTAATGGCCGCCGGTACCTGTTTTCCCAGGATTTTGCCCCAAACCGCGCTGGGGAGCCCCGGCTCCAGCGCTCGGGGAGGATGTCAGTGCTCTCGGGGGGATTTTCCTCTCCCAACCCGTCGGGTCCCCGATGCCGATGGAATATTGAGGTTTTTGGGCTGCAGGTTTTGTGTCTGAAGCTCCTGTCGGGGATGTCCCTGTACGGGCTGGGGGGGAGTGGAAGAAAACACACGTGCGGAGCGCTCCTGGAGTTTTAAGGAATATCTCTGCGTGTTTGTGCAATGGGCTCCGGGGCTTTGACCGGGCGCGTTGACTCGGGGCTCCTCACAGCTGGTGGGATGTGCTGCCCTTCCCTCTGTCTTTCGCTGATTTCGGGGGAAAAAAACCCGGAGTTCTGACAGTTTTCTGGGTGAACGGAATTTCCCCAAGCCTCTTAATTGCAAAATTAGGTAAAAAAATCTTTTCACTGCCGAAAGCAGCTGATTTTGAGGCACTGAAGAACTCCAAATTTCCCCAGATTGCTTCAGTATCATTTAAAAAAAAACCAACCTTCTAAATCCCTTTGAGCAATTTGCAAATGTCAGAATTTGTCCCCTTTCACTGAGTATTTGAGAACAAATGCCTTGTCCAATATTCTTTGACTTCTGGCTTTATAAAGCCTTTAAAAATATGATTAATTGGCTCTTACAATATTTCAGGGGTGAAACATCGTTTAGGGCCTTTCCTCTGCTCGATTTAAAAGGGCAAAACAAGCACTTGGTTTCTTCCTCTGGTGCTCTTTGTAGCATTTCAGGGAATTTAGAGAATTAGTGAAAGTTTTGGGAATGAGGCCTTTTGGGTGTTTCTGGGGGGTTTGGCTGGTGGGTCACACTGAGGCCTGTGGGATTTTGGGTGAGAAATGGAACGTGCCCACGATGAACTGTGACATTCCTGCTTCTCTTTGAAATCCTTGGCTGGAGGGAGATGATGCCCAGAATTCTGGGAGTCCTTGAAGTCCTTTCGTGAGCTGCTGTTGGAGGATCCTCTCAGTTAAATGACTTTTGAGGTGTAGCTGCCTGGAGACTTCGGTTTTACCCTGAAAAGCATCACCTGTACCTGTCTGACTGTAAAAAAGTGGGGTTTGTCCACATTGGGGCAATAATTGGATAATAAACCCTCCTGCCAGGGCTCTGTGACAGGTAAAACTCTTCCTTCACCCCAACATGAGCAGCTCTTTCAGCTCAGTAAATCCAAATTCAGCTCTTGCAGGAGTTTTTACCTGGGACTGTGCTCAGGGATTTCCCTTTTTGGGGCTTCTTGTCAGAGCCTGAGACCTGCAGGTTGAGGTTTTTCCCTGGAGCTTCCCTCTGCGAGCTGCTGGATGCCAGTTGCTGTCTCAGGTGCTCACAGGAGGCCGTTCCAATAGGAAATTCCCGGTTTTCCAGCTAAATAGGTTGTTTCAGCAAGGTAAAGGCACTGAGAGACTGTCACATCCCCGAGGGTGTGAGGTGCAGGGGGAATTCCCACCTTGTTGCAACCCTTGCTGAGTCTTCTCCTGAAAACATTGTTGTGCTCAAATAGATTGATGCTGGATGAATAATTAAATATTGCAGAGCAAGCAGAGATGGAGTCAGCTCAAAAAACCGCATTTTTGATGGGAAGTACTTTATCTTTTATTCCTGTAAAGCAGAACTTCACACCCAGGAGAGAGAGCTCAGCAAACCCTCTGTGCTCCCTCCCCGGGGTGCTGCTTTTGGCTGCTTTTATCGGTTTCACTGTTTCTTGCAGGCTTGGTTTGAGCCTTTCGTGGGACAGCGAGGCAGAGAAAGCAGTGGCAGAGGGAGGGGAGGGCAGGCTGTGGTTTGGCACTACAGAAATGAACGGGGGCTTTTTGGGGCACTGGAAATTTATTGTCATCTTTGCTGCTGCTGGATTTCGGTTTGAGGGGCCCCCGGTGGGTGCAAAGGTAGATTTTTTTTTTTTTTTCTCCCTTCTAAAAGCTAAAGCTGCATTAGAGGACAGACAAAGTTGTGTCCCCTGCACATGTTTGTCATTAATTCTGCTCCTC